CCATATTCTGTGTGCCAAACCTTTTTTTCTGTGTGTTTCTCCGGTTCTGTCCGTTTCAACAAAGGAACTTCTCATCACATCATTGGGTGTCTTTTAGCAGGGAAATATTGCAATTGGATTGCATAGCTAAGTTTTACTGCAATTCCCAGCTCTTCAGTTGCAGCAAGAACGCACCACTCCATTCCAGACAGGAGCGATCCGGGAATACCGCCATCGTCGTCTGCTACTGAGATACGGAAGTGCGGCGCCGAGCCCCCTACGTCCAGTTCCAGCACAAAATCAAAGAACCGCCCATGAAAATTTTGAGTAGAACTAACCATATTAATACATTGCTTGGACAGCGACTTGCCTCCCTAAAAAACCTTCTTCGTCTACTACTGTAGCGTTGCGTCTTTCGGGACGTAACTCGGGGAGGGGTAACATGTAGATGTCTCGCTGATTCATAGTATTGTACCTTAACTTGGTCCGTTTCAACAAAGGAACTTCTAATCACATCATTGGGTGTCTTGTCAGGAATAGCAAACACAATTTGCCAACTTCTGCCAGTTGGTAAAGCTTAGTTTAAAGAATCATGACAGCCTCGAGTGCCATGGAGAGCCACGAGAATGACAGTCCCCCGACGTATGCTCAAGATTGAGTAGGCATGGTCAAAGGCACTTGCTAACCACATCGTTGTATTTCTCCAGACACACTGAAGTGACCTTTGTTACGGAATCACCAGCCGAAATTAAGCTGAGACGCACTCGCAATCTCACGAGTAGCACCGACGTCGCTGACGAGATTGCCACAAATATGCGAATCAACTTGGACAAGCGCCGCAAGGGGTTTCTAAGTCCTAGTCGACTGTCCGGTAAGTTGCAGTAATGACGCGTTCGCTCGAGTGATTATTACACTAACCGCGATAAAAAAAATATGAAGGGACATTCCGACAGAACACGGAAATGGCGCTACGTGCGTCGTTCGCAGTGATACTCTCGTCAATTATTCAGACCCGTAACCAAGCCTACGATCCATCTCACGCCCACGACAAAAAGTGGATGTTTTTTCCAGACTGGTACTATCTTGGTGGCCTCAGTTACTGTGCGATTATGGTGGTTTTCTCGATGGCTTACAATGTTGGAGGCACGATCCGTGAAGTTTGTCAAGGCTTCTCTGGTGTGGGTGTAGCGCTTTTGTATAACTACATTTTGTTCGCTTTCGTTGAAGTTGAAAGATTCGACAGTAAAGCGGATGACCCGTATATAAATTACTACAAGATCAATAAGGCGTTCAACTCGAACGCGTACTGGATCAATGTGCCCAACATGTACGCGACATTGCCGTGGATTTTCGTTTTTACCGTCGGTGTGATGGTTTTGCCGTTCCACATCAATACGCGCAAGTATGCGGTAGGCACAAACGCCTACTTTAGTGAGTGCATTCTGACACTAAAAAAAATATGGGAACAAATATACTGACGTCATTGTGTATTGTAGCTTTGACAATTATCAACCCCGCGAATCCTTTACGTTCGGGACAACTCAAAAGTATTGACGAAGAGCTGTTCGACACCAGCAATATTTTGCGAAATTTGCGCATCTTTGCAATTGTAGGGCTCCTCGGGGCATTGATATCAGTTGTTGCCATGTGCTTTCCGTATCCGATATTGTAAGTCTGCAACTTCATGGGGTCATTACAGTAGTCCAATAATTCCTTTGTATGTTTAACATTGCAGTGCCATCTCTCGTCTGCGTGAAGACTCTCAAAAAGCTGCTGCTGATCTGCTGGAGCTATTGAACATCGTTGTGGACTCGTACTGCTTCAAGAATAAAAATGTGGAAAATATGGAGTTCCTAAAGCTCCGATTAAGACGAAAGTTCGATGACGCTGAAGCACGTTATCGTCGGATGGAATCGCTTCTGGAGGATGCGTGGTGGGAGCAGTGCTTCGGTCTTCATTACCCTCTTCGTTTCAACCGGGTTATGAGTCGAACCTACATCAAGCTCGTGGGTTCACTTATCGCCGATTTACGAACGCTCAGCTATGCTATGAGGCTGGAAAAGTACGGACGTTTGCATACAACCTACATGGCGATTCTCAAGCGAGAGATTTATATTATCCAGACACGCTCAAACGACTTACTCAACGAAATTTCACACGAAGTCCACGATCTCTCTCCTCGTAAGTTATCGAGTTTTATTTACTTATTTTTGTTTGCTCTAATATATTATTTGCTAGACCTGGATCTGAAGTCGTTGGGTGCACTAGAGAATCAGGTGGAGATGGCACTGTACCAATTTCGTAAAATTCAGAACCGGACGTTCGCTAAGGAAGTGGTGACACCAGAAGAGGTGGCAGAAAATGTGCCACTCAATCTGTTCCTATTCTCGCTCAATTCATTCTGCAGCACTCTACTCAATTTCCAGCAATCGTACAACAGTAGAAAATATGACGACGCGCATCGAGTACGCTCCTTCGTGAGGAAATCACTAAGAAAGATTGTCGATCCGGGTTACTACAGAAACCCGACGACGTGGATCAATGCTTTCAAGATCACATTAGCAGTTATGGCGGGGGTGGGATTTAGTGTTGGTGTCTATGGATTCAGCTCAACGGTGCCGTCCACAATCGCATATATAATGTGTGAAACCCTTGGAAGCTCCTTCCGAAAGACGGTAAATCGCGTGGGTGGTGTGGTGGCTGGGAGTATCGTTCCCTCAGTCTTCAAGTTCTTTTTCGTGCAAATCTGCGAGCCTCAAGTATTGAGTATAGTACTGACCAACATTGTGATGTTCATCTGGGTTGGGATGTGTATGTACGTCTACTTTGGCCAAGGTTATGCTGCCTACAGCGGCATGGTGGCTGCATTTGTTGCGTCTGACACACTCATGCGGCAAACGGATATATGCTACCCTAACGGATCAGATAGTTCGAGTTCCATTGCTGTCGCGTCTTACTCCAGCCTCGCACAGACGTCAGTGGCTGTTGTTATATTCATCTCAGTGGAGACTTTTATCTTTCCGAAAAGTGCGATATCAATGCTACGTCACAGTATTGTAGACTCACTAAAGCTGCATCAAAAAGCGTTCGATGAACTATTCGGACATCATCTTTCGAGCTCCGTTGTGATGGACGAATCTAGTATGGCTGACGTACGACGTATGTTGGCCGTGGATATACCAAACAGTCTCGAGAAACAACGGCAATTACTAGTTGAAGCAATGGTTGAGCCTTTACTATGGCGTCCGAACTTCTCTCATGACAAGTACAGACGATTGCTGGAGATCTCACAAGGATTGTTGAACAACAATTATCTCCTCTTTAAACTACTGCGCTGGTTCCATTTCCGGGTATCGCAGAATCGAGTGAACCTTAGTTCTTCAGATATACGCGATGTCGTCGTAAGAACGGATGTGGACGGCGATGTTGACTGTCACGCCAAGTGGAAAGTCTCAACGGCTCATTTCCAGTCCTTAGTTCGCGATATTTTTGATACTATGAAGTTAGTTTTCTGTGATACATTCTGCTATGCAGATCCCGATCAAACCGCCGTCTTCATGCAAATGAAGGAAGCGTTTCGTCTTGCGGATAAAGACTGCAGTGGAGAGCTGAACGCGAATGACGTCACGGTTATGCTTGGAAACATTTTTGCTCAGTCTGGAGATGTGAAGAAGGAACAGATCAAGAAATACGTGCAGGAGTTCATGGATGTAGTTGGGAAACCTGGTCGAACGACCGTGTCTTTCGAGGACTTCATGGATGCTCTTGAGCATGGACTCAAGCTCGAAATTGAAGTGTATCATCGAGTAAAACCTAGACCCCCAGCGCTTCTATCGAGTGCGCTACAGAGGGCTATCAAGAATGAAGGGTTTCAGGAGAAATACGTGGACGATAATAATATATTTGAGAAGAGCGACACGTCTAAGTTGGCAGGTACCGTGGGTCCTGTTACGGTCTCTGAATTATCGCAAACGCGGGGAACTAGTAGCGATTCATTGGAAAATGCATCAGTGTTCATCCGGCGAGAGTATGATGTCCTGAATGTGGAGGATTTCACAACTTCTGAAGTGGTTGCTCACATGAAAGCTGCTTATGCGGAGTGGCTTCTCACAGACAACCGATACGAACGCACTTCCATGGAAGAGCAGTTGCTACTAAACTGTCTGGTAAGCGGGGCTGAAAGCATTGCAAAGAGCTTATCTGAATTAGAAGAGATTGCAATGTCATCTTAACAAAAAAAATCATTGGAATTATTACTGAGCTCACACTGAATGATTCATCGAATTGAGATATCCGAGACACCAATCACAACGCCATGACATCGATGAATAGTTATGAACGGCTTTCTTCTTACAATGTGCTTTATTTTCGAGTATCGCAACAATCGCGAGGGAGACTATCGCGGGTCACTTCAGAAATTTCTTATAAGTGAATACGGTACTTCGGCCAAAGCTCTGCGTTATGTGTTGCAACCATCGCAATGGCCGTTAATTAGTTTCTAAAAGCTCGTAAAAAAACGTTTTTATCAGTTTAATTTATTTAGTGCTGGAAACTTAGTACCTCACTGCGCTATGACGTCTATGACGTTGAAGTCGACTGTTTAGTCCACTCTGGAGACGAGTCTGTTATGCGTATCTTTGTTTCCACCAATCCGATTGCGATATACATGCATTTTCCACCAATACAAGACCCTTTCGCGACAATAAATATATGCAAAACTCATCGTGCCATCATCCCCAAACCAAGATGTCATTCAGCAACTCGAGTCATTCCACAATTATATTCAACCACCACAAGTCCAAGTCAAGTGTACACAAGTCTCAGAAATTTTCAAGCATGGTAGCTTGGGCTGACCGTTTCGATCTCGAGAAGCAGGTGACATTCTACCTGTCCTACCACGACAACAAGATCAACCAGTACATCCATTTCGCCTGCATCTGGCAGATCTTCATCTCGGCGCTCTGCATGTTTGCATCGCTTGAGTCATTTGCCGAGCCGCCAAGCTTCGTGACTTCGCTGCCTTACAGCCAGTATATGCTCTTGAATCCGTCGTGCATTCTGGCTGGCATTTACATGGTCTGGTACATCCAGCTGGACCGAGTCGCTGGTTCACTAGGCGCTGCTCTCGTCTTCATTTGCTATCTTTTCGCCAATTTCTTCGTGCAAGTCTACGCTCCAAGCAATTTTGAGCGCCCGGGCTGGCAGATCGCACTGGCTGTACACTGTTTTGCCTGGATCATGCAGTTCATCGGCCACGGTGTGTTTGAGCGTCGTAAACCGGCGCTGTTCGATAGTCTGGACCAGGCGCTCGTGACGGCTCCGATGTTTGTGCTGCTGGAAGCGATGTTTGCATTTGGATACCGCCCGGAACTATACAAACGTGTGTCGTTTGCGGCCAAGGCGAACATCA